GAAAAACAATAATAAGGGATATTCATTTTCTTATATAGATTTAACTAAGCAACAAGGATAGATAATTAAATCAGAAAGAAGTATGGTTAAAAATGAAATCTTTTGCATGTCTTTTGCCTCAAGTTCCCACTGGTTGATATTAAGCATTTAAAACCAAGGTGTCCCACGGCAGTTGATTCTATCCAGCGATGTCTACTACACCATACTAGTCCATGGCTTCCTTGGAGAAAGGACATTATATTTCCCCTAGTAAATCCAAAGAATTAATCAATGCTATATGCTAAAGGTGGCTGAGCAAGCACTGTTATTTTTTTTGTTTTTGTTTTTTTAAAAACAAAACCTACTGATAACCTTGCTTCAGTTAACACAGAAGCAAAACATTTCCTCCCACTGTTGCCATTAGTATTAACACTTGTTTGAAAAGTTACTTTGTGTCAGGTTTAGCTTTCCAATATCTCACCACCTCTAGCTCATTGCTCTGCTCAGCCCCTCCTTACTGTTCAGTGAAGCAAAAATAAATAATTCAACTTCTTCTTGTGCCAAAGTGCAACCCATTATATTTTATTCTGTGCCAAGGGTGGACAACTGCAGCCCTCCGGGTATGTTTGCTTGCATGCTATCAGCCTTAATAATTCCTTCTGAACAATCACTGTCTGTTTCCAGCCTACATAGCTAGAATCCTGGTGGTGGAGACCCTTTTGGCTGATGTGTTGTCTCCTTCTTCCAAAAGACAGCAGCATGGGGACTGCCTTACCATATGTAACTGTCTATAAGTTGCCTTTACATATAAGTTAAAGGAAGGTTTGAGGGATTTTGATATGGCCTGTGGATAAGTTGAGGGCAATTCCATAAAAGGGGGGAGCCCTCTCTACTTTCCCCATCACAGTGCTGCCTCTGGCTTTTTCAATGCCGTGGCAGGAAAACAGAGGCATCTCTTTGCCATTTCCTCTCAAAGGTGTGTCAAGAGAATAGAAGGGATCAGTGCTTCCTTTAGGTTTTCTTGAGATGAACTAAGACTTTTGACACTCTATTAAGAGAAGGGGATGGTTCTTTTTTTCTTTTCTTTTTTGACAAGAGTTAAGGTACAGTACTTATATTGACCTGTGGATAAGTTAACTCAGGTTTTTTGGATTGACCTTTTGACTAAATTTTCTAGACTTATACATGAGTATATACAGTAAGTCAACTAAGCAACCAAAAAGACAAGAAAGTCAATTCTCAGCAGGAATCATGTGTACATGACTCTGCCACTATGACACATATACTGGCATCACAGAAAAAAGGGCAGCACCTCTGCCTCTGAACAGTAACACTGCTGGCAACATCCCTGTAAGGCAGGACAACATCTCAACACTACCATATTACAGTGGAATAATCAAAACCTGGCAGCTGGATAACCTAAAAGAGGTAAAATATGTACACTCAGTCTCTCATTTGTAGGTTTGACTTTTGAGGATTTGATTAAAGCTTTCTCTTAAATAATAACAACAACAACAACAACAACAACAACAATAGCACTTTATTTATAGGTTGCTCTACCTCCCTAAGGGGACACCCTAAATACTCCAGTGTGGTTTTATGATCAATTTGTGGTGGAAGCTGATAACAGACTCTTGTTGGAGAACCTAGAGATTTCTAGAAAAGGGCTCTCTTAGGATTAAGAAATGTTTTTATTCGCATTTTCCCCTCTTTCATGTGAATTTTGCACCCCAGCAAATGTGGAGGACTGATTATACTCCCCATCCCAATTCATTCTTTTCATCTGCCTTAAGTCGCCTTCAGGCTTGCAAAAGCCAGGATAGAAATATCGTAAATAAATAAATAAAAGCTTTTTCACGCTTTTCTGATCGCTATCGTACTTCAGAGTGTTAGATGCCTCTGTGCGTAAAACGAACCAGCATAAATGTTCATCAGACAAAGAAAGACAACATGTGCTAGAAGAACTCCCCTGACAGAAACAAAGAAGACATAGATTAGCTGCTACAAGAAACGTGCGCATTGCTACCCAAGCCAACAAAAGGCCACACCTACTTCGCTCTTCTTGGGATGGATGCCTTAAAATTTAAGTAGTAAAAGTACCATCCACGGTAGCCTGCTGTGGGAGAAGATTTGGGCTGGTTAAAAAGGAATACCCAAAAGCTGCTTAAGGGAAGGGAGAGAATCTTCCTTGGATGAGGGAGGAAAGAATTAAAGAGAACAGATCTGAATGCTGAAATGCCCCATATTGCTGAAATGCTCAAGGGTTTTAATATTCAGGTTTAAAGGAAGAGGGTGAAGGGGACGAAGTAGGGACAGGGGTGATGCTTTCTTTTAGAACAGTGCCCTGACATGTAGGGGTCTCTTTCAACATCAGAGCTGTGCCAGTTTGCTGATGTTGCAACATGAGCACAAAGAGGAAAGAGACAAAGGAAAACTCCTCTCTCCGCCCCTCCAAGTCATTCCTACCGTGCCGGGATGATCCTTGGCTGATGCAGGAAGCATCTGGCAAAGAGCAAAGTGCCACAAGAAGACACAATGCAGCCGGACACGTGTCGGTACATATATAATTACAAAATTAAAGGAGGCAGGAGGTAGAGGGGCAGGTCCCTCCCCATTTTGGTGGACTTATTTCCTAGGTTGGTCAATCAGTCTTAACAGTGGGTTGAGGTGAGTTTTCTGGGCTGTATGGCCATGTTCCATGTGCATATACCTTACAACCTCTGAGGATGCCTGCCATAGATATGGGTGAAACGTCAGGAGAGAATGCTTCAGGAATATGGCCAAACAGCCCGGAAAACTCACAGCAACCCTATCACTATTCTAGCCATGAAAGCTTTCGACAACACAGTCTTCACATGACTAGGAAACACAATATGGGTTAAATGAGGGGACACCAAGAGTGGCATAGCAGGTGTCACAGAGTCACCCTCCCACCTTCAACAATTCAAATCTCATAGACCAATGTGTTCATCATCCATTTGGATGCTCCGTCACAACTATGGCATTTTTTTCTTTTGCTTCTAGGAAGCATCATTCTGCGTATATTTAAATATGTTCACCTCCCCTCCCCACTCCACCTCCAAATCGTCAGTGCTATTGCTTCATTCGAATCAGTTTGCCACACATACATACCACGCGTGAGCAATTTCTGCAGTATTTCCCAACGCAGCTGGCAAGAATCTTTAAACAAAGAAAGATCGGGGGTGCATTTATAATCCTGCCACATTTGCGCTCTCTCTCTCTCTCTCTTTAACCTTTATATAAAAAGGAGGTGTGGTCCAAAAGCCTCTCTTGCCCAATTCCACCCTAGTTTGGCTTGCCTGCCTCTCAAACTTCAGAAAGTCAATGCCAGTGTGAAATGGGTGGCAAATGAGTGAGTGAAGGAGGAAGAGAGGGAGACTTTGGAGGAATTCCTGGGACAGGAACCCAGTCCTAACAATAAGAAGAAGAAGAGGAAGAGGAAGAAGAAGACCAACAACAACAACAATAATTCTAGCAGAAGCCAGTAAAGGTGGTCCCAGTGGTGATCAACACACTGGATGCAGTGCCTAAAGACCTTGGCCTGCACTTAAACACAATTGGCGCTGACAAAATTACCATCAGCCAGCTGCAGAAGGCCACCTTACTGGGATCTGCATGCATTATTCGTCAATACATCACACAGTCCTGGACACTTGGGAAGTGTCCCACATATGATCCAATACAACAGCCAGCAGAGTGATTTTGTTTGCTGTGGACTCATCTTATAGTGTTTCAAATAATAATAATTTTATTTTTGTAACCCGCCTCCATCTCCCTGAAGGGACTCGAGGCAGCTTACACATGACAACATGTGTCTAAACGAACACGTAAAATAAACACACAATGCAAGATAAAACCAATAGCCTATAAAACAAAGTTTAAACTCTAGACAGCACACAACAGCCTATGATGATAACTGCAGTGAAACATAGGCAACTACAAACAGGAGCAGGGAATAGGATAGCACAAATTTGGCTAATGAGCTAGGGCACGGGACAAAAGAGCAGTGCTGTGGCATTGATTGCAGACCATTGGGATTAGACATTAACCAAGCCCCACTTGTGCATCAGTCCCACTGCGTTGAGCTAGGCTTCCTTTCTGAGCCTCATTCCTTTTGATTTGTGTGTGTGTGAGAGTCAGGAGCGACTTGAGAAACTGCAAGTCGCTTCTGGTGTGAGAGAACGGGCTGCCTGCAAGGAAGTTGCCCAGGGGATGCCTGGATGTTTTGATGTGTTACCATCCTTGTGGGAGACTTCTCTCTTGTCTCCAAATGAGGAGCTGGAGCTGACAGAGGGAGCTCATCCACACTTTTCCCAGATTTGAACCTGCAACCTGTCAGTCTTCAGTCCTGCCAGCACAGTCCTTGGGATGAAATGGAAGGTATATTTGCAGGTGGCATGGGATCCACTGCGGTTTGGTGCCAGGGATGCTCAAATCCCATGATGTATATGTGTGAAGCGGTTTGCTTTACATAAAATGGCAAAAAATCAGGGTTTGGTTGAGGGAATTTGTTTTAGTATTTTCAAGCCTCTGGGTTGTCCACCTACACCATAGAAAGACATGGGCGAAGTTGGGCCCTCCAGGTGTTTTGGACTCCAACTCCCACCATTCCTAACAGCCTCAGGCTGAGGGGGAAAAGGAAGGGGCCTGAGGCTGTTAGGAATGGTGGGAGTTGGAGTCCAAAACACCTGGAGGGCCCAACTTTACCCATACCTGCTGTATTTCATAGGAAGAAACTGGCAAACCACCTCTGGGTAGTCCTAAGAGAACCCTCAGAAATCTATAGGGTTCCCATAAGTCAGGGGAAGGGCCTGGCCAAACAAACAAACAAACCATATGTATTGTCGAAGGCTTTCAAACCAAACAAACCAAAACCCTCGCCTAAGGGAACCCTACAAAATCCACTCAGAAGCCCTAAAGCGACACCATCCCAACACAGCCAGCCAGCGCCTTTCCTCCCGCCTGGCCCAAACTCCCCAAATGGCCCAAAGCGAACTTACAGGTTTAAAGCATGGCTCGGACCCCGGCCAAACAAAGCGCAGCGCTCCTCGCCTCCGTCACATCTTGCGGCTTCCCGGGAGAAGCGCCGCCGGGGAGAGACGGACGGGCCCCGAGCAGGAGCGAGAGGAAGGCCCCGCCCACCCAGCCCCACCTGCGCCTCTCCGGAAAGGACTCCGCCCCGCCCCCTAATTACCATATGCAAGCCAAGCGGCCCGGGGAGGGAGCCGGCAAGCGTGTGTGCGCGCGACCCACAGGAACACGCCCCCGCCCCTCGCGCGCGCCTCCCAGGAGCTGAACAGCGACCCCTGCCGAGAGCGGGAGGCGGGCAGAGATCCCACCTGACGGCAGCGGCAATAGAGGGGTTTGCCCTAATTGAAAGAGAGAGAGCGCACTAGCATCACGCCCACCGAGTGGCTTCATCATTCCGCCGCCTGAATTAAGAAGACTAGGCAAGGGCCGCCCACACACCCAGCAAGTGCCTCCTTGATTCATTCCAGCTGTCACATTCGGAAGACAGATAATAATAAATAATAATAAACTTCACTTATATCCCGTGGTGCTGGAGGAAAGTTCCGAGAGTGCCTTGGACCTCCAGAAGATCCAACCAGTCCATACTTCAGGAAATAAAGCCCAACTGCTCATTGGAGGGAAGGATAGTAGAGGCCAAGGTGAAGTACTTTGCCTACATCATGAGAAGAAAGGAAAGCTTAGAGAAAACAGTGATGCTGGGGAAAATGGAAAGAAAAAGGAAGAGGGACCGACCAAGGGCAAAAACAAGGATAAAAACATCAATTCATCCGGGCGTCCCCTGGGCAACATCCTTGCAGACGGCCAATTCTCTCACACCAGAAGTGACTTGCCGTTTCTCAAGTCGCTCCTGACACGACAAAAAAAAAAATCCTTGAAGTGACTGGATTGACGTTGAAGGGGTTGGGGGTGGTGACGGACGACAGGGAGCTCTGGCGTGGACTAGTCCATGAGGTCACGAAGAGTCAAAACGACTGAATGAATGAACAACAACATACCCCGCCACCATTTCCCCAAAGGGACTCTGGGCAGCTAACATGAGGCCAAGTCCAAGGATTACAATACTGCAAAGTAAAATACAATGACAAATAACAACAACAATTTAAAAACAACAACAAATATACAATAAACAGACACAAAATAAAATATTGGAAGAATAAAAACACAGTGGGCGGGCCAAATGGGGGGGGGGGGCAATGAGTTTTAAAGGCAATTTTTAGTGTATTTATTGTATTTCAATTAAGCCCTATATCCCAGGATCTGATCCCAGGTTTTCTGTTTGTTTATCCCATATTATCTGGCAGTGCAGACTCATATAAGATAAAGGCAATGGTAAAGGTTTTCCCTTGACATTAAGTCCAGTCGTGTCCAACTCTGGGGATTGGTGCTCATCTCCATTTCTAAGCCGAAGAGCTGGCATTGTCCATAGATGCCTCTAAGGTCATGTGGCCGGCATGTTTACATGGAACGCCACTACCTTCCTGCTGCAGTACCTATTGATCTACTCACATTTGCATTTTTGAACTGCTAGGTTGGCAGAAGCTGGGGCTAACAGCGGGAGCTCACCCTTCCCCCTGGATTTGAACCAGTGACCTTTCGGTCAGCAAGTTCAGCAGCTCAGTGGTTTAACCCACTGTGCCACTGCAGACTCATATAATCCAGTTTAAAGCAGAAAACCTGGGATCAGATCTTGAGAAATAGGACCTATCTGGAAGGGTCTTTAGTGGCAGGTTAAAACCCATGGCTGGTACCAGATGAGAAACCCCCTCCTGGGCACACAGAAGACTGGATGACTTGGAAGGCCCTGAACAGACTGCGCTCTGGTACCAGGAGATGCAGAGCCAATCTTAAGAAGTGGGGCTATAAAATAGAGTGTGTTTAGAGAAGACCAAACCATTCACCACTTACTACAATGCAGTCTGAACCCTGACACATGCACAATGGAAGGCCTCCTTATAGTGACACCAGAGGCACTCCAAGTGGCCAGCTTCTGGTCAAAGGACACTTAGCATAATGCCAAGTTTTTAATTTTGTTTTTGGTTTTTAAAATACATTATGGTTAAAAACTGAAATAAATAATTCTGTGAGTGGAAGTGTCCTTAGTCCCTTTCCCTGAAGTGGTCACTCAGCAGTAACAGATTTGGGTCTCTCAGTCTCCCTAATCAGCCCCCTTTTTCTCCCTCTCTCCCATTTGCAAGCATCAGCAAAGATAATGAGCTACTGCCAAAAGCACTCCAGAGCTCCATGGCTACTGATACAAGCTACAGTAAATGACATCCCCCACCTCTGGCTACCGAGACAAGAGAAAACAGGATAACCATGTGAACATCAGTAGCAGGTTCAAATTACCTAAGTAGAAAAGATAAGAAATATTGATATGTAAAGGAAGTAATATGATAATTTGGATTGTTGTAGGTTTTTCAGGCTATATGGCCATGTTCTAGAGGCATTCTCTTCTGATGTTTCGCCTGCATCTATGGCAAGCATCCTCAGAGGTTGTGACGTTTTGCGTGCATCTATGGCAAGCATCCTCAGAGACCTCACAACCTCTGAGGATGCTTGCCATAGATGCAGGCGAAACATCAGAAGAGAATGCTTCTAGAACATGGCCATATAGCCCGAAAAACCTACAGCAACCCAGTGATTCCAGTCATGAAAGCCTTGGACAATAATATAATAATTTTATAGAGCCATTGGTTAGAAAGTTGGGAATAAATGCTTTATTTCTTTTTCTTTCCCTCTTTTTTCCTTTTGGAATTGTCTTCATATATTATTTTTAAATCTTTAATCAGTAATTTAATGTAGCCCAATTATTAGAACCACAAAAGAGATACAGAGAGAATTCTTTAGCGCATTCCTCTGAACGATACTGGTAGAACCCTTTGACAGACCAAGTTGCAAATCTCAAGATTCCACAGGACAAAGCCATAGCAATTAATGATATCAAAGTACTATAATTATGTAATGCGGATAATACATTTTGAAAGAAAAGATTCTGCTATGTTAAGGTGTATAACTCAGCTTGTCTCTAAGGATCAAATGTGGTGCTGCAGATACTGATGATACTACCAGGCCCTTGGGCTCTGTTGGCATCTATGATATGGATAAACATCTTATGTCTCTCCAGGTCTTATTGGATCATAATGCCGAGCAGTCCTAGCCAGCATAGCCAATATGAGGGGCCATGGGAGTTGAAACCCAACAACATTGGGGTTGTTGCCTCATATTTCTCATCCCACTGCTCTCTCCCACTCACAGTCAAAGAGGCAGGGGTGGGAAAGAAGACAACTTAGAAATACAAAGAAGTTTGCTTTGAAGGGCTGAAATGCATAAATACTGAAGAATGTATCTACATTGTAGAATTAATGCAATTTGACAATTTGACTGCCATGGCTCAGTGCTATGGAATCATGGGAGTTGTAGTTTTTCAAGGTCTTTAGCAAAACCTCCAAAATTGCTGGTGCCTCATCAAACTACAGCTCCCATGATTTCATCACATTGGACCATGGAAGTTAAGATGGCACAAGACTGCATTCACTCCACAGTGTAGATACATCTGCTGTCTCCAGAAATATAACTCCTCTGCTGGGGAAAACTGATGAATCCCTTTGTGCAGGATGATGAATCCAAGGTTGAGAAATAGCTGCTTTATCCCAGGCTATTCAGCAAATCTGTGGCTGAGTGAATAATTGAACTGTGCTTAGAGGCCTCCAGGCAGGAGTGCAGCAAAATCAGGTCATTTCCCTACCCGGATAAAAATCACGGTCCCCTGGCATGACATTTTTCTTCAGTCCTCAGATTTCCAACACTGCAGGAACCTAAAACTGCATATAACACTTAACTTCCAAACTCCATTTGGAGAAACAGTTTAGGCTTCACAAGAAAAGGAACTATGAGTGTACCAAGGCAGTGTGAGTACAGTAAATTCAAGAATTCCAGGCATAGACTATTTTCAGTTTTTGCAATACAGAAAGAAGTCCATTTTTGGTGACTTTGTCCTCATTCCATCTATTGCCTCGCACCTATACTACTGCCTCCAAGTCCAATGCTAATAACCAGAGCACAGACAATATAATAAATATGGGTTAATCTTCAATCAGAATTTTTATGGAGCCAGGGACTCTGAAATGTATTTAAGTCAAGAGGGGTTTTCATTGGAAGAAAGGTTCTTATTACATTTGCTAACATGCATTTGTTCGTGTTAGGAGCAACTTGAGAAACTGAATGTTGCTTCTGGTGTGAGAGAATTGCCCATCTGCAAAGACGTTGCCCAGGGGACACCCAGATGTTTGATGTTTTACCATCTTTGTGGGAGGCTTCTCTCATGTCCCTGTGTGAAGACAGAGGAAGCTCTCCCTGGATTTGAACTGCTGACCTATCAGTCAGCAGTCCTGCCAGCACAAGGGATTCATCAGTGCTTAAATGCTGGTATGGTTTTAGAAAACATGGAAAACATCTTCCCCTTCACTATAGTGTTTTAAAAGCAAAAACTGTCAAGAAGACATGTTAGATGACAGAAAGTTCAAAACAGAAAGTTCAAAACAGAAAGTTCAAACATATGATAGTAACTCACAAAAATGCTCAACATATATAGAGGCAGCTCCCACGTTACGAACAAGATAGGTTTTGTCAGTTTATTCTGAAGTTGTATTTGTATGTAAGTCAAAACAGGTACTTTCCAGCCAAATATGCCCCCCCCCCAAATTGCACAAATTCAGGGACAAGGATGGGATGGTCACCATTATTATTGCCCGAGGCTTTTTCTGTCAGGAGCAGCCCAAGGTCCAAACAGTTAAGGAAGGATTTGTCCTGGAATGGTGACTATACTACCTGAGACAATCACTTGTGACCAAGTATGATTGTCTGCCAAGGGTAGTGTCTTGGCGGTGGATCTGTAAGTGACTGTAGAAAGCTATTCTGGGTCTGCAAGGTCTTTTGCAATGATGAATACATAGATTTCCAGATGGAAGATGGTCCTGATAAGGGTTTCCTCTTAGTACATATCTCCCTTTCGCCTTCTATTTGTGTGTATTCAAAATCCAACCCCTCTGGATTTTGTAGTCCAGTCAGGGATAAGTCAGTGAGGCAGACTATGTTTAGGGCACCATTTCTA